TTCATTAAAAAAAAAAAAGAAAGAAAGAAAAAGAAAGGCCTGCAGGAAATTAACATTTTTGAGGATCTACTATGTGGGTCAGGTCCTGGGAAACTTGAATCTTTTAGGTATGAGGTATAATTTACTCACCATAAAAGTCATCTGTTTTAAATAAATAGTTCAGTGAGTTTTAGTAAATGTATGCATTTGTGCAACCCTCACCACAATTTCATTTAAGAATTCTTCTCTTTACTTTGAGAAGTTCCCTCATAGCCTCTGCAGTCCCTCTCCCAACCTCCAGCCCCACGCAACCTCCAACCTGCTTTATCTCCTCAGTTTTGTCTTTTCTGGAAATGTCATGTATATGGAATCATATAATATGTGATCTTTCGTGTCTAGCTCCTGTCTGATTAACATGATCTTCTTGAGATTTATCCCTGTTGTTCCATGTATCAGTAGGCTCATTGATTTGTATTTTTTAAAGGATTTTATTTATTTGAGAGAGAGAGCGAGAGAGAAAGTGAGAGAGAACATGAGAGGGGAGAAGGTCAGAGGGAGAAGCAGACTCCCCTTGGAGCCGGGAGCCTGATGTGGGACTTGATCCCGGGAATCGGGGATCATGTCGTCCAACCAACTGAGCCACCCAGGTGTCCCTCATTTATTTGTACTGATTAGTATCCCATTTTACGGATATAGCACATTTTGTTTTTCCATCCAATTTATGTGGGAGTAGACTCACTGGATCAGATGGCAAGTGTATGTTTAACCTTTAAACAAATTGCCAAAATGCTCCCAAGTGAATATGCCATTTTACGTTCCAACCAACGCTGTATGAAATTTCCAGTTTCTCCACATCCTTGCCAACACTTCGGCACTATCTTCCTAATTTCAGCCGTTCTTGTGGTTGGATAGTGACATCTTACTGTTGTCTTATTCTGCCTTTTCCTAGATGAATCTTATTGAGCCTCTTTTCACGTGATCACTTGCCATTTGTGTACCCTCACAGGTAAATTGTCTATTCACATTTTTTTCTCATTCTAAATTGAGTTCTTATCTTCTCACTATTGAGTTGTGGAAGTTCTTTGTATATTTTGGTTAAAAACCTTTGCTAGATAATTCCTTTGCAAATATTTGCTTCCAATCTGTTGCTTGCCTTTTTGTTTGGTTAATAGTGTTTCTGAAGAGCAGAAATTTATGTTTGATGACATCTAATTTACTCATTTTTCTTCTTTTTAATGTCTGTAGCTTTTGTATTGTATCTAAGAAAATTTCTCTTAACCCAAGGAGATTTTCTACTCTTTTTCTGGAGTTTTATGGTTTTAGTTCATAGGCTGAACTTTATGACCCATTTTGACATAATTTTTTTTTGTTAGGAGTGAATTAAGGGTCAATGATCATTATTTTGTATGTGGATATCCAATTGTTCAAGCACTATTTGTGGAAGAACTATCCTTTCCTTATTACCTTGGTACCCTTGGTTAAAAGAAAAAAGTCAACTGACCACATAGATGAGGGCTGACTTCCGGACTTTTTCTTCTGCATCAGTGATCCACGCATCTATCCTTATATTAATACCACATGCTCTGGTGTACAGTAGCTTTTGAAATAAGGAACGGTGAAGTCCTCCAATTTTATTCTTTTTCTATACTGTTTAGGCTATTCTAGATCGTCTGCATTTACATGTTAGGATCAGTCTGTCAACGTCTATCAAAGAAAAGAGGTCTTGACAGAGATACCATCGGATCTATAGATTAATTTGGGGAGAACTGCCAATATTGGGTCCTCTCATCCAGGAATACAGTATATGTTGCATTAACTGGTTTCTCTTATTTTTCTCAAAAGCATCTTGTAATTTTCAGTGTATAGCTTTCACAGTTCCTATGTTAAATTTATTCTTAAATATTATATTCTTTTAGATGTTACCGTAAATGAAATTAATCAAATCTTATTTTCTGATTTCCATTTCTAATATGTAGACATGGAATTGATTTTTGCATATTGACCTTATATCCTGCAACTTTGCTATACTAATATCCTTGCAGCTTTTTAGAAAAAATACAGATTACTTAGGATTTTCCATGTACAAAGTCACCTTGTCTGTGAATTGTCTGTGAATGCAAGTAGTCTCATTTCTTCCAATTCTTACACCTTTAATTTTTTGTTCTTGCCTTATGGTCCTTGACATTTTTAAAGAAGATTTTATTTATTTGAGAGACAGAGAGAGAGAGAGAGCAGGAGTAGGTGAAGCAAGAGAGTGAGAAGCAGGTTCCCCACTGAGCAGGGAGCCAGACATGGGGCTCCCTCCTAGGACCCTGAGATCATGACCTGAACCTAAAGCAGATGCTTAACCAACTGAGCCACTCAGGCATTCTGGTCCTTGACTTTTATTTGGATTATTAGCAAACGTCACTTTAGCTCACTGTACAATGATACTCTTATATCCCTTTCATAAATGCTGAAATCACCCAATAAATTGATTTTTTTTTTTTTAAATTGATGGTTTTTAACCAGTGTATGTCACTGCCTACCAGTCAGAACTTCCATTTCAGCAGCACTGTTATCCTTGTTTATAGTGTCTGGGGGCGCCTGGGTGGCTCAGTCAGTTAAGCATCTGCTTTTGGCTCAGATCATGATCCCGGGGTCCTGGGATCAAGCCCTGCATCGGGCTCCCTGCTCAGCAGGAGCCTGCTTCTCTCTCTCCCTCTGCCTCTCACCCCCGATTTGTTCTCTCTCTTTCTCGCTGTATTGTCTCTCTTTCACATAAATAAATACAATCTTTAAAAAAAAATAGTGTTTGGATAGTTATTTTCAAAATTCGACATACATTTTATACTCCTCATTTAGAAACAAAGAAATAGAAAGCAGGAGAAAGCGCTGCCATCAGTAATAAGCAGGAGTCTCATAAACTTAACAACAACTGAGACGACGGTGAACATCTTTACGCACGCTGGAAGTGGCAATTCTTTAGCCTGTTACGTGCTCACTGGACTTAATAAGCTGGTCAGCCATGAGAAAGAGTAAAATTAAAGAACATAACATGGCATAGTGAAAATATAACATCAAAAGACCGTATCCAAGATGCAAGGTATAATTAGTGATTTTTAAATATATTTTAGTTCTTTGGGAACTTAACTGCCTTTCTCATAGGTACCACAGCTCAGTTCTGAGGAACACCTTGGGTCTCATCAAAGTGTGGGGATATACCAGGACTTCGTTTAATCTTGCACAACTTCTGAGGAAGATAAAATGATTTCCATTTAGAAATCAGAAAATATAGAAATTTAAGTAACTTGCTAAAGCTGTATAGTCAGCAGTGGACACAAGATTCAAAGTCAGGTCTGTTTGGTTCCAGAAGCTCTAAATTGGGCCCCTCTCATCTGGCACTACCCATTGCCCTGATGGATACCCTGAAGCCCCAACCTTCCACGCCCACTCGGGAAGCCCTCAGTTCCATGCAGGTATGGTTCTAACCTTCTCACCAGTGATTCACAGCAACTGTGTAACAACGGGAGAATTTATCTTCCTGGTTTGCTCTCTCCCAAAATACCAGCCCAAAGGCTGGAACACTATAATAAAAAGATCTGAGGTGGTTACATAAATAAGATCCATGTGCAAAAATGTAGAAAGCTTGGTTTGAAATGGATGGGCGATTACCCTTTGAGTTTGGGGGCAGAGATGCCCAGGAAGTTTGACTAAGAAAGGCTATGAAAGTTTTTCAGTGAGGTAAACTCAGGCTTTTCTTCTCTGCTTTCATTTCTGGGCAGACACATTAGAAAATGAAAGCATTCCTGAGCAGAAAAGTGACCACAAAACCATTTCATTATGGAGGGGTGATAGAACACAGCCTTCTCTGTCCTACACCCCACAGAAAAATTCTAACCCTTGGACACAGAGGATTCAGGCTCAAGTCTTGATAACTTGGGGTCTGCAAAGCCAGAAAAGAGGAGGAGGACACAGAAAAGAAAAAGGAAACTATTAAAAGCCCTTCTCATTGGGCCTTAAGTAAACACTCCCTGGCTATTTTGGATTTTGGGGTCAATTAGGAAACATTTCAATCAGCTTTTTTTTCAAGAAACAAATACAGATTGTAGCTCCTCTACACTCTGGGCAAGCCACAAAACCAGAAGCAAGCACCTCAGTTCCCCCATGTGCCGAATAAATCCTCTGAAGCCGCCCCATAGGACCCTGCCTTCCGATGAGCAGACCTTTGGAAGACAAGTTTTCTTCACAAACCCCTTATTTTAGGTTAGACTGATCTGTTTTTTATCAATCCTCCTCCCCCAGTAAAACACGTCTTCTCCAGTCCTTACAGGGTTTAGACATGAAGAGCAAGGCTTTGGAAAATCTCTGTAATTAGCAAAATAGTGGAAACGACCTACATGGTTGAGGGACAAGGTGGCTGGCCGTCACAACAGAGGTCAGCACTTCCGTCCAGGTCCTCAGCCTGCTGCCTACTTCTGTAAACAAGGGGTCGCTGGGACACAGCCGTGCCCATTCGTTTATGTCTTGTCTGTGGCTGCTTTCTTGCTACAAAAGGCAGAGTTGCGTGCTTACCACTGAGGCCATCTGGCCTGCAAAGCCTAAAATATTGACTATCTGGTTCTTTACAGAGAAAGTTCGTCAATTCCTGTGACGATACATTTAAAATAACATGGAAAAATACTCCTGTTAGGTTGTCAAGTAAAAAAAAAATTTTTTTTTAGAAGGATGACAAAGTAGTTTACATGTGGTATCACCAGAATTATGTAAAACAAGGGGAAATGGGCAGAGAAGAGATAAAAAGGGCCAAGCAGGTGGATTTGGTGGCAGCATCCCAGGTGACTTTCCTTATGCTCATCTCTGTGTTCCAGTTTTCTAACATGACCTCTCATTTCTTTCATCATAGAAAAAAGTCGGAAACGTGCCCGCAAGCTTTAGTCCCAACTTGCCCCTAGCGGGCGTGACCACCCGGAACTCAGTCTCCCCGCCAGGCCCGATCCCACAGGGGTGCCGCGGGGTGGGGGCAGGAAGACGGCAGGTACCTTATGCTCGTCCCGAAGGTGGCTGTCCAGTTCCTCCGTGTGCTTGGTCTCATAGTAGCAGAGCTGGCATTTGTAAGGTTTTAGTTCGTTGTGCTTTTCTATGTGTTGCTGGAGGCTCTCGTCACTGGAGCAGGTGAAGGTGCACTTATCACAGCGGAAAACTACTCCCTGCAAGTATTTGGACAGTTTGGAACGGCACACTTCGATGGGGACAACTCGCTCTTCTGTGGAAACAAATTGAATGGAAAGATGGAAGTTTTTACTGATGGTCCACATGCGCTCTGTCTTTGGAATAAAGGAAGAAACTCAACCGGTTTTGCTACCTCTCATGGGTGTCCGTGAACTCATGTGCACACTGCCTCTCCCTCCGTTCCCCAAACAGCATCTTCTGGTCCAGGTAAGTATTTGTAAGACCAAAGCCTCTTGGTGTACTTAATCCCCAGAGTGATCTTTATACCGAGGTGGGAGGCTGGGAGGTGCTCGCTAATTCCTGCATGCAGGTGGCTAACGGAGGGGATGAGACTGGCTGCCATGGTTTACCCACCACGACAACTACTGACAGCCCACCTGAGCACTTCCTTAGTATGTGCTAGTTGAGCTGGACCCAGAGATGCCCCTAAGCAGAAGGGGAACGGATGGTTCCTAAGCACCTGTGTGCCCCAATGGTGCACCTTTCTGGCAACTCTCTTAGGCTGGAGGTATTCCTGTTTTTACAAATCAGTAAAGCAAAGGATGGGACCCTTAGTAACTTTCCAAAGATCACAGACGTAATTTGCCCAGCTGTGATCTCCATCCCCGCCTGTCGAAAAGCAAACCCTTTACGTCCCACTGTTTCCAGTTCCACTCCTGTTTCCTCTTCCGAGATGTTCTCAGGGAGACCGTTTTCCTTCTCCTGAAAACCAAGGGAATCTCTAATAACAAATTTTAAAAACAAAGGACCTGTAGGTTTTCATTCACTAAAACTCCAGCTCTAACTCAGAGAAGCTCACAAATGAAATGGCTATGGGAAACATTCAGGGTGTGTGGGGGCCCGTTGCGGGTGGTGAGGGAGATAGGGAGGATTTGTGCCTTTTCAGACAATCTGTAATCTGATTGTCACAAGGGAAAAAATAAAAGAGAGAGAGGATTTGGGTGCTTTTCCCATTAACATACCAAATGCTGTAGGGCTGGAAATGCGTGTGCTTGTTTATTTTGCACTCTCTCACCCTTGTGTTTAACTGCTCAAATTAAATTTCACACCAGTCTGCCCAGAGTATCGGTGCACGCGCCAGATATCCATAACTGGGATAAAATTAAAATCTGTGCTATTTATGCAAGGATCAAATATAGCGTGTGTTTTCATGCTGTGTCTGGATTTCAGAAGACTCTGGAAGTTTACAAATGGACGCACACAACATATACTTATATTATTTAGAAATAGCAATGTATTATTAAGTCAAGAAAGCGTGATTTATTCTCAGAGTCACTGAGTAGCAACATTTCCAGACATCAGTGCTTTGTGCACTGATGCAGCTCTCCCTGTGAGCCCTCCCATTGTTGTTGGCTGGAGCTGGCCCTTGGGGAATCCTCCCCACCCAAAGCCACGCTCAGCGACCACATTCTCACTGCGGGGCAGTCCCTGCCTTGGGAGTCCTTGAATACGGCGATTAACTGGCTAGCGCAAAGTTGGCCAGAGGAAGCGTGGAAGGCGGTGTCTGCTACATATTCCCCAGAGCTCTAATGCATATGTTAGTTTCCCTATACAAAGAGTCAGTCGCTTATTTAGCAATATAAATATTTTTAAACCAAAGTAGAGCAGACAGCTAAGAAACACATGATTATAATGTAAGCCACACATTTTCTTAGAATAGCAAATGTTTAACAGTCTTCTAACCATTCAGTTCTATGGTTCGGTGTAATTGGGGGAAAAAATGCTTTGGCATAAGCCAGCCGGAGCCCTGAGAAAGCCCAGGCCATGACGTTCTACTCCTGGGGCCCGGGGCTTCTCAACAGTAGCTCTCCTGACATTCTGAGGCCAGAAAAGGCTTTACTCCGGGGGCTGTACTCTGCACTGCGGGATGTTCACTAGGGTCCCTGGCCTCCACTGACCTGCCCTGGCACCCCTCTTCCCCAGGGGTGACAACCAAAAATGCCTCCAGACAAAGGCACCCTGACTCCGGCTGATGACCACTACTCGACACCAAGTGTCAGCATTACCTCCAGCCGCTCTGGCTAAGACACGGGTGCAAGCCGGCGCCCAAGCACGAGATGGGTACAGGCTGAACCCCTGGGACCGGGCCCAATGCCTCCGGGGCTCACGGGCAGTGCTCCCACGAACTTTTCTGCCGCCTTGACACTGCAACCCCCTTTGCTCTGTGCTGGCTCCCACTCTGGGTTGTGTCATTTCTGCTGCGTGCACTCTGTCTCCAGCCCTGCCGACCGCCGTGGAGAAGGACCACAGCTGGTCTAACAGCCCCCGTAATGATGCCTCTAGCACCTTGGAGACAGCCGTGCGGCCAGCCTCCAGTCTTCGCTTCTCCCCGTAAAGAATTGCTGCTTTCAGACTGGGGTTTTACAGGCCTCCCTTTCAACTCCTCTACCACCTTAGTTAGTTTTCTTTGCAGTTTCCCATTTCACTATGTAGGTCTAAGTGAATCTTAACAAAGTCATGAGCACTCAAAATAGCCTGGAGTTTAAATAATAATGATTCATGGAAGTGACCATGGCGATTTACCAGGAGCTCACTCTGTTTCAAGCACTGTTAGGCATTCTACACTCATGGTTAAATTTTTATTCTCGAAAGACTCTGCAAAGTCAGTTTTATTACCTTTAGTTTATTGGTGTGGAAGCTGAGGACTGGCTTGCTGCATGCCTTCCTCAAAGTCACGCCTCTGGTTCAGAACAAAGTTGTGACCTCGGAGCACAGGTCTCCTGGCTGACCTGTGCCAGCGCCCTCCTCTCCTTCACCCCCGGAAAAGTCTCTTGGATCATTAGATCCACATGCCGTTTACTGATGAGCCCTAATTCCTAATTGATTAAGAGTTCAAGAGCTACAGACATATCTAAGGCAACCATTTCTAGCTGAACTTCTTTCGAGTATCTTCTGAATCAGGTAAGAGGCAACTTCCTGCTTGCTTACTCACTCTGAAACATCAGACTTCTCATTTCCAAACGAAGACATCCCCAACATTCCAAGTCTCTGGGCTACGTGGATTTTTACTGAGATATTCATTTTAGGGGAAAAAAGTTAATTTTTCTTCCTGAAAACAAGGCTAACACGACCAAGATAAAAAACAAGACAGACTTGGAAAGGTGGGCAAATCACTGACAGTGCTTTCTGAATGAGGTTATTCATTACTGAGGCAAGTCAAGGACATAAAGTTAGAGACTGGAATGTTTCCAGGTATGGATGGAGCCCTGTCTTGGCTACAGAAGCCCAGGGCTCAGGTTTTTTTTTTTTTTTTTTCTATGGAGGCAGCGACAACTGTGGGTCTTTCTTGACTTCACACCTCTCAAAATTACCTTGGGTAAGAAACCAAGGCTTGAATCACACTCATTGTGACTCAGCTTCCAGAGCTGGCTGCAAAAATATTATGACTTCACCAGTTTGACTACAAGATAGACTGTGTCTCTCATCTCTTCCTACTCAAAGGCTGCTTGGTGCTGCAGCTGGACACGAAGCCCGGGAGGAATGCCCCACGGAAGCCTGTGGGAACCCAAGCGCAACAGAGCCTAGAAGGGTGTGCTGTCAAGCTCCCGTGGAGCTCAGTGGAAAAATCGGCTGAATTCCAACTACCAGGAGGGCGGAGGGTCACTTCTGCTCAAAACAGAAAAACCACATCACTGTGGAGTCCAGAGTCACCAAGTAAAAATTCTTCCTGAAAGGCAGACCACAGCACACTTGGGTTTCCTTCCCACAACGTGCCAAGTCTGAAGGAAGCAGGGAGAGATCTGGAAGTCATTCACGCCAACAAACTCCGTATGCAAATGATCCTGCTCTGGGGCTGAGACCCTCTTTGGGCCAAACCAAAGCCCCACCTATTACTCTAGGCCAAATAAGTGACAAAAGCTGAGTACTAGAAAGCCATTAGGAAAAGAACAATAGTTCCTAAAAAACAATGATTCCAAAACATGACCATAAATGGACACACACAAACATAAGGACAACAGCTCCTGGTAAGAAGTTACTAATTCTGACGTTAGCCAGGCTACCACTGTCAAATTAGAGAAAGCCAGGAACCACACCTCTCATTCTAACTGGCAAAAGTATTTGGTGGGGATGGAAGGGAATGTGTAATTTCATGGAATAAAATGAAAGACTGGCAATCTCACTGTAGGTTTTTTTTTCCTTAAGAAAAACGATACGGATCAGGTAAATTAAGGGAGATTAGTTTTGTTCCCAAAAGGCGCCCACCTGCAGGGTTCAGTTAAATTCAGTATTTGCCCATATATGGGGTTACGGGCTGGGGAGCAGAAGCTTTAATATGCCAACTGGAGACCGGCATCGGGGATTACACAGCTCCAGAAATAGAAATAAAAATATCTGGCAAAACTGTAATTCAATCTGTACCCAATTTTCCAGGTGCACCAAAGGTGTGCAAGATACATCCAAGCAAAGCTGTCTGTGCACAAGGCATCGTGATTCCAGTGATGGTGATAAACTCAGTGGAAATGTACTCATGAAAATATTCCCTATTCATGGTCTCTCTTCCCATTAAAGTTCACGTTCCTTCAGTGCACAGACTGCCTGACTCTTCATGGCTGTGTCCCTAGGGATTAAAACAATGCTACTAGCATTATAGTGAATGTTCAATAAATATTTGTTGCATTGAATGAAAACCCACCAAAAGCCCTACCTCCAACCTTTTCCTTTAAACAAAAATCTTAGGGCTTAATTTTTTCCTTTTTAAGCTGGTCCAATCATGGCCAATCTCACCAAATGTTGATCAGACCTAAGTTCCTGAGAGAAATGGGTCTACCAATCCTTGGCTTCAATCTTTCCTAAATTGGTATTCATCAGGTACCCTGGCTTCCCATCTGCCTACTGAATAAAGTTCAAACTCCTACCCTGGTATTCAAGCTCTACCTAAGTTGGCCAGAACACACTTTACCAGTCTTGTCCCCTATATTCCCTTCAGTCTCACTCAGAACACTCAAACACCACTATGTCAACACATCTTGCTCCCACCTACCTGAATGATCTAAATTTTCCCTCTCCACTCATGTAGTGGGTCCAATAGTGTCCCCCAGAAGCTTATGTGCACCTAGAACCTTGATATGAGAACTTATTAGGACATAAGGTCCTTACAGATGAATGTAACTAGTCAGAATGAGGTCACAGTAGTTTGGGTGGGCCCTAAATTCAATGAGTAGTGTTCTTAGAGGAAGAGGAGAGGACACACAGAAGACATGCAAAGGGAAGACGGCCATGTATGGACAGAGGCAGAGACCAGAATGATGCAGCTATAAGGCAACGATGGTGGGAGCCACCAGAAGTGAGGGAGGGCCACGGGAAGATTCTTGTCTAGAGCCTTCAGAGGGAGCCTGGCCCTGCTGTCACCTTGGTATCAGACTTCTAGGCCCCAGAGCAGTGACAGTACACTGCTATTTTAAGCTACCTAGGAAACTAACATGCCCCGACTTCAAACTTTTTTGCCTTCTTAAACATCATCGTAGCTCAGTTTGAAAGTCACCCCTCCACACTACCTTTCTCTACTCCCAACACAAATACACCTGCCACCGTGAATCTCCTAAATACCCATCACTCACTACATCACGGAGACTTATGCACATGCTTCATCTCCTTGAGGAGGGAGGGTCCTGGGTCTTATGTACCTTATCTTGCCCAAGAAGCTAGCATAGTGCTGCACATAACAAGCAAGTAATGGGGGCACCTGGGTGGTTCAGTGGGTTAGGCCTCTGCCTTTGGCTCAGGTCATGATCCCAGGGTCCTGGGATCGAGCCCTGCATCTGGCTCTCTGCTCAGCGGGGAGCTTGCTTCCTCCTCCTTCTCCTCCTCCTCCTCCTCCTCTCTCTCTCTCTGCCTACTTGTGATCTCTGTCTGCCAAATAAATAAATAAATAAAATCTTAAAAAAAAAAAAAACAAGCAACTAATGAATTCTTGCTGAATGCATGGACACACAGTATGCTCTTTTGCCACAGCCCACATAAAACCATGATCATTTCTCATTCAGATTTCCCATGAATGAAATGAACTCCCCTCCCTTTCCTCCCTATTTAAATATATCATCCTGTTGGGATAAAAAGCTAAGGAAACTCTTCTTGCAAGCAGTATCTCAGTACCAAGCCAGCTCAGAAGTTGTTTTTCTTCCCTTTCATCCCAAGTATTTTAATGAACCCAAGCCTCAGAAAGCTCTCTTACTGCAGGCCCTAGAGACCAAAGATGCTTACTCATCCCCAGAGCAAGGAGAGCCCAGGTGCAGGAAGAGCCACCTCTTGTTACTTTGAGTTCAACCCCAACTTGAAATTGTAAGGCAGACACCCAGCCCTGTCTCCTGACTCGTCAAGACCAGCTTCCCACTAAGATGCCATTTTGGGTTGAGATGGACACCAAAGCCAGGCCAGGACACAGATGGCAGACATGGCTGTCTTGAGACTCTCGGCCATCTGTGGTCCTGTGGTCCTCAACTCTGACCTCCAGCCCCACAGGTGGTTTCATCCTCAGGCCCAGCTGCCACAGCCACGAGAATGCTCAACAGGGTGACACCAGCCACCCTCCCAGGGAAGAGACAGCGATGCCTGGTGTTATAGGCATGGGCTGTGGGGCAGACAAGCCTGGGTTTGGATCCAACTGGGTCACTTTTTAGTCATTTGGATCTTGGGTCACACTCAGTCTCTCTGAACCTTTTACCCTTGTGATCGGCGGATAACAGTAATACCCACACCATATAGGGCTTTGTAAGAATTCTATAAAATGACATATTGGACTCACTTAGTACAGCACCTGTCCTCGTCAACTCTCAGTGACAGTAATCTGTCGTTGTTAATGTTGTCATTATTATTGCTGATCCTCAAACGCCCCTTCGTTCTAGATCGTGCACTTTCCGACCCTGATAAGGATGATATTTATAGATTTAGATGGCTCTTTTAACATAAATGACCTCTATAAATAAACAGCAGAGACTGTAAGGAACCACCAACGGGCAGTATGACGGAAGGGTCCCGGGCTCAGAGGCCCGGAGTTGACTCACTACTCCGTGAGCCCTCGGGAGACCCTGGTTCAACCGGCCCGCTGTCACGGTCCCTGTACACCTTCCCACTGTGTCCGCGGTGGGGATCATACACACTGGGTCATACACGCTCCACTTCGGAGAAATTCCTCTCAAGTTTTGGTGTCTAGGATTCCTGACAATCTCCTGAACACAACTTCCAGAGTCTAGCCAACACCCAAAATCCAACAGATTCCGTTTTCTTCTCCCCCGCGGGAGGCTGGGCTCTCTGAGCAGACCTGCAGACCGTGGCCAATAGGCGCACGACACCTCACAGCACTCACCAGACCCCAAACTGTCACTGAGCATCCTTGTACTGCCAGGGGACTTGTGACTGGTCTCTCCTCAGTGTGCATTTGCCCCAACTTCCCATTTGTTTTAATCCTACTGTTCTGCACAAGTATCTTTAAGAGACCTTAAATCCTTTGCGAGATGGCCACGAGTAACCACACTGAATCCAAGAAAAGCAATTTCTCTCATTTTCACATTTCATGCACGCGATGCATGAACACAGGTAATAATACTAGCCCTTACGGTGCTGCTGGACAGGAGTGACTCGGTGTCAAGGGTAGCACTCTAAGGGCTTTTCTCAGCTTTAGCATTTACTCTCTGTGTCCCCCCCTCCACACACACACACACACACACACACACATACCTTTCTTGAAACCACAGCTCATTAGTCACTGAAGCTTGGAGCCCACCAGGCAGCAGCATGGGAAGCCAGGGGAACTGACCACAGAAATGAGGTCTCATCATTTCTGTCTGCTCAGCAGGAACACTACTCATGGCCTCTCCCCACCACACGTGGGCTGGGGGACCAGAAGCCAGGTAACTGACGTGGCACCCTGGGTGGGACCACTCTGGCCAAGAATTCCTGCCTCCGTGTTCTGACGCTGCTTCTCTCATCCTGCAAGTGGACGTCTCAGCCAGCAGCGACCTCATGTCTCCTCAGAGTGGCCTGGGCAGGAAGGAAATCTGAGGGCGCTAAACGGAGCCTTCCACGGGGTGTGCAGCAGAGATGGGCAAAATGTCACAAAATGCAATGGCCCAAGACAGTGGTGCTGGGGATATGCTGGACACTTTTGAAAATGCTCCAAAAATATCCAGCATGTCAGGGTGTGTGACATCTCAGCAGGACAGCAGAAGACACACTCACAGTTTCTGAGGCCCACGTGGCAAGCGTGGAAAAGCCTCTTAAGGTTAGAGGCCAAGGAACGAAGAGGGGGACGAGGAGGGAGGGAAGGCACGAACAAAAGATGTAAGATCAGTGGACGGAAACCGCACAAGAGACTAGCAATCAGGATTCTGGTCATCTTTTTCCATCTACCTCTGGCTTGAATCTTCTTTGGACAAAGTTTTTACATAAACATATTTTCCCTTCCAATGCAGAGGAAGCCTGTTGTTTAACAGTGTTGTAATTGGCCAAGAGTAAACTCAACTGAAAGGAAAACCAAAGACGACTTGAAAGAACCATCCCTGTTTATCAACAGGAAGCCACACGTCCAGAACACCCAGTATGTATCCACCACGGAACGCACCAGACCCTCGGCGCATCATTTCGTAGGCCTGACCGTCCTCTCTTCTTAACAGATCGGAGAGCAGGCCAATACCGGAGGCTTTAAAACCAGAACTTAAATCCGAAGCCTCTGGGATATCTGACATCAGACCCCTTTTATTTTTAAGACTTTCTCCTCTCTCCATTCATCTCACGGGAAACTCCACGCTCTGCTTTGGAAATCATTTCGGGCTCCCGCCAGTGAATCGCCTGCAACCACATAGCTCCTCACATTTTGTAATGAATCCTCACCCGTCCGCTCTGTTTCCCATTCACTCCTTCCTCAGGGAGGTGGTGAGGGCAGAGGAATCAGAATGTGACAACCCCTCACGCTGGGAAGCCCAGAAGTGTTCACTGCCCAACCCATCACCTTTGCCTCCCTCCACGTAGAGCAGATCCTTGGGGCAGGAAGGGGTTTTTATCATGGGCTGTCACTGTGGTCATCCACTGTGATTTCCTACCTGGAGACAAGGGGAGGAACCAGGGACCAGGGCAAAGCGGCCACCTCGAGAGGGGCGTCCCTAAAATGGCGCCCACAGCCCACGCCCCAAGGAAACCACATTTAGGAAGATTACCTCGGTGCAGCACGATGTGGTCAATCATGTTGCGTTTGTATTTGGTGTGATAGAGGCAGAGAGGACAGCGGAGATCTTTGGGGCCCTCCTCAGGAACCGCTGAATGCCCAGCTTCCACGTGCATAGTAAAAGCAGATCTGGGAGAGAGGTGTGGGGAGACAGGTGAGGAGTGTGACAAGGGATCATGTCGCTCACACATCTCCTGCGGGCTACCTACCTAGGCTTCTGCATGTGACTCCCCCGGCTTGAGGGCCCAAACCAGAGTCGTTCATCATGTTTCCGGACCACGAGCTCCTTGGTCACTCATGCACTACCTGGACCTTGTCGTGTGGGGCTAACTTCCTTTTTGAAAATTTCTGCCACTTGGCTGGGGTCAGGGCTTACTTTGGAAAGAACTGGACGTCCCCAAACACTTTATTCTAGAAGATGAGAAGCTGCCTATGAAAAGCAAAAAGCCAAAGTCCCTAAGAGAAAGAGGTTCTCACTGTGCGTGGAAGGAGAAGGACTGGAGTCACGTGGACTTCCCAGCTGCCTACGTGACTCTGCACAGGTCAGGGTGGAGACGGCAAGTTGGCTGGGACGTCATGGCGGCTAAAGATCAGCTAAACTAAACTCAAAGCGGTTGTACCAACCTGAAGGCGGAAGGCTATTGTTGCCTTCCCCTCTATCCTTTTCAAAACTTCACCATTTACAAAGCCTTCGGTGTCTCATAAAAATGGATGAAACCATGAGTCTAAGGGGCAAGGTCCCCTTCTTATTAACTCAAGTGCTTCTCTCTGGGGAAACATGTACACCTGTCAGTGGGCCCTTGTTATCTGGGTCTTTAGCCTTTTCTCAATTCTAAGGTCACATACATATTTATCTGAAAAACAACTGAACTGAATTAATAGTCAGAGCTGTAACACATTTCCCATCGAATCCCATCAACTAAGGTGTTGGTGGAAAAGAACCTTGTTCTTCCGATTGATTTTTGTTGGCCATGAAGCCTGTCTTGAAGTACTAGAGTGGCCTATGGCTCAGGTACTAACTACAGTAGGAGGAGATAATAATAGCTTTACACCTGTAATATAGCCATCTAATATATTATTATAATGGCTGTCTATGATATTATAATGCTTATTAGTGTTTCCTTTGCGCCAGGCACTATTCTGAGCACTTTAGATATATTGGTTCATTTATTCCTCCTACGAGTTGTATAAGTGAGGTAGTATTACTATCTTTATTTTGTAGATAAGGACCAGGAGACACAGAGAAGCTTAGGGACTTGTCCAAAGTCACACTGCCAGCCTTCGGCAAAGTTGGGGGTCAAACCCAGGCAGTCAGGCTCCTCATTCTGCACTTATAACCACTAAACTAAGCAGCATTGCACAGAATGAGATTAGATCAGAAGCGTCCAGAGCACATGACAGGAAGCACTCTGTTCCTTGAGCTCACTGATTCTGTTACACACAGGGACAAAGGTGGCTTTGGATTATCTGTTTCTGGATCGGAAACAATCTCTCTACAGTTGTTCAGTTCTAGTCTTCACAGCGCTGGAGTCTTGATTCTCTGGGGGTCTCTCAGCAATATGATCTTGAGAAATAGGAATTTTCTGTAAGGGTAGCAGGGAAATCATAATTGCTGGATGTTCTCTCTTGGCTTTGATTTTGCTTTCAGAAACACAGATTTTTTTTTCCCCTAAAGACAAATCTAAAAAAGGGAAGATAGTCCTCCACAGGAAAAAACACTCATCGCTTCATGCACTGGGCCCAAGAAATCCCTTACCACACTCTGACACTTCTTGGCTGCCCATTTGCTCTAACATTTAAACTCATTTGTTCTGATACAGCGACTGCTTCATTCCCAAACCCCCTTCCACAAGCCCCAAAGCAGTCCTGTGGAACTAGCCTCCTTTTGTGAAGACTGGACCCGATCCCTCTAAGATCCCACTGGAGCAGAGCCTTCCCCAGAAGAATGGAGGGAAGAGTGTGGTGAGGGGCGGAGCAGGTGCAGCCACCTTGTTTCTCAAGGCCGTTCTTCACGCCACTTACTTAAAGCCTGTGTAAAAGGAGCAGTCTTTGCACTTGAAGAGCTTCTTCCCACCATGCTTGTCCCTGTAATGGCGTCTGATGCTCTGGATGTAGCCAGAGGAGAATTCACAGAATTCGCAGTGCAGAACAGCCTCGGTTTTCTGCTCGGCACCCCCGGCGGCCCCGGAGAGAGACACGGGGCTGACGCGGCTGTTGTTCCTCGCCAGCGCCGCGGACTGATAGTGGTTCAACTGCTGCTGAACATCTGGAGGTTCGGAGTAGGAGGAGTCTGTGGACAGACGGGGAAGAGGACACCGGACACAGAGAACACAGTGGAGCTTTGACCCCTGAAAACCCCCGATATTAGTCTGCAGTGTTTTTTCTTTTCTTTCTTTTTTTTTTTTTAAAGACGATGACTACGATCCACCTTTCATCTTCATTTACATCCTACCACACAGATCTGGGGAAAGGCAGGTAGGAAGGAAGTGTCGCTTCTTCTCGTCTGACTTTGAGGGCTCACGGCATTTAAAAATAAAACTCTGAGGTGACAGGTTTCAAAGTGAAGGAAGAAAGTCAACTGTGGTCTAAAGGAAACGGCAGTGTGGTAACGGGCTGCCACAGAGCACCCACCCATCCCCATAGGTGAGATAAATAAACGCACAGCAAGTACACAGGCACCGCGGTGAGAAAGGAAAGTCGATGACGTCATATGTCCTCCTCTGCAGCCCAGAATCATTCAAGCCAATCCCCACCCCCACAACCAAAAGGTCTTTAACAGAAATGCTCGAGCACATGGCACTCACAAATATAAAAATGTTTTATGCCTTCACAGTCAAGTGATTTAAAATTTAAAATACAAAGATCTAATAGTGTTCTCCTGGAATGGATGTTTAAAGCTTAGTCAGCATTAAGATGGAGATTTATTCATAAATCCCATTAAAATGAAATTCCAAATAAGTTTCCCTGAAAGGTATTTTCAAGTTTGCAATCCGGAGGAAAATGTCGGAAATGACAGCCATAAATCTTAACCCTGAGAAGCTCCAGTGGAGAAATGTGGTGGAGAAATCTGATCTAGATGGGAGGTGGGAAAAATCTCGGTTTCTTAAAAACTGAAAGAGAGGAGAGAAAGGTCTTGAACCTTTTCCCAACGCGCTGCTTTGAATGTTGAGGCTACGCTTTTGACAACATTGTCCTGTATAACCTACAGCCGCCTATGAATGACACGAATGGAGTCCTAAATACCCCTCAGATGAATTTCAGTGTAACTTTCCTTGAAAAGAAAACAAAGGGCTCTTTTTTTAAAGCCTTTCAAAAAGCAAGGGGGGAAGGGGTTAGAAACTGTACAAGCCTCCTCCTGATTTGACGGACACTTCATTTTCCAAAGCACGATTCCCTGAGGCAGGACACGGAGGAATTCTGTAAAACCCGTATTTGATGAAAACTAGTACCATCCATCCCGTTGGCCTCTTGGAGGAGAAAAACAAAAACCAGAGCAGCCTCCCTGATTGTGAGGCCGCCTCCTGTCTTCAAAATACTAAAATACCTTCCCTTCTTGTTCTCCTCCTCCCCCTCCTCAATTCGTATTCCTCAAGATGGAGAAAAAACCCCTTTGGAAATTGTAAACAAACCTGCCACACACACAAAAATAAAACAAAAGGAAACTTGAACAATACCTCTGAGCCTCCACGGGTTCATTACCAGGTGTAAACTGAAGACAAAGGAAGAAAGGAATGACACAACCGAATTCATTTTACTCAAGTCTTTTATCTCTGGTTTCTTTATTCCTCAACCCTAGCTGATGAACCCACTCAGGATCACAATAATGCAATTGTCAACTTCTCATTCTTCCTTTCAATAGCAGGTTTGTTTACCACCTCATGGATTGTTCAAGATGTTTTCTATTTAAGCTCTCAATACTAGTTTCTGCTTAATACAGGCACAAGGAAGCGCAAGGTGTAGTCCCCCTCTCTTGTTAACACAGGCCTGAGCCGTGGGCTGGGCACTGCTCTGCCAGCCTCCCCCATGAGCCCCTGTCCTCCTGTTTGCTCTTTGCTCTGCAGGATTGAAATTCTGGGACCAACAAGGCCAAAGCCAGGTCCTATTCCTTGTGAGCTCTCGGCCACCTACAAATCTACCCAGAAACCAAAATGAACGTCCCAAGGAACGGTCCGTTTTTCCAAAAGCAGCTACCAGCTCCCTCCAAGACTCGATACCCAACTCAGTGAGTCCTGAAGGCTAGCATGGAGGCTGGTGGTCACCTCAGACACAGGCCCCTGACAGTTTCGATCCCTTTATTATAGAAGCGTAAAGTCCATTGTTCCGACTCAAATCATAAGCCAGGTAAATTCATCTCCCCCTACCTTCCATCCACCCCAACTTCACACCTGCACTAATCTCTTAGGGAGACTCCCTCCAAGGGAAGGGAGTCTTCTTTGATTTAACACATTTGTCTTGTCTCTAGGGTCTATTGCATTTCATTCCATCCATCTCAAAAAACGAATTCTAAATTTTAACTTTGGTATATATATGTTACATGAAACTTGAAGAAACAGAAATGCAAGAAGTGGTGAGGGAAAGCATTCCAAGAAAGGGAAGCTCAGCGCCCTTCCTTCGTAAATGGCAATGCAAAAGGAACAGCCGTGTGTACCATGTTATGGATTCCTTTTTATTTTTTTCTGGTTAAAATCAGATGGACAGGTTTATTTACAAAGATAGGCAAATCCCACCACTTATGGTACATTTGTAATAATGCCCAGGTTACAACTTTTTGGGTCTTCTTAGAGCTTTACTTTCCTCTCCGGTGCCAAGACACACTATGTCTCTCATTCTCTCTCACTTCGGAGTTTGTGAATAATGTACAATTTTAGCACTTTGGGCACTAAAGTGACAAAGACGTGAGCGTGTATGATTCCACCGATCTTAAAAAAAGCCCATTTGCTAAACTACATAACATTCCAACTTGTTCACAAGACACAGCCTGAGGAACAGGAAAAGGGTCGTTTTTGTGCCCAGGTTAGAAAGGCAAGCAGATTGTTAGTAGTGAAGGGACACGTCACAGAGGTTTAAAAATCATCATGAAGACTATTTTCTTCATTGTGAGCTTAAAAAAGTGAAAAAACTCTGTTTCCGCCAGCCAGGTTTGTGGTCACTGAGATATACAGCACCGGAAGTAGAGGGAGGGAATGCAGGGGGAAACTGAACCCAAGGTGGTCACCCAGATCACATCTTTTTCAGTTAGATGGCCAGTAATCCTTACAGGGGAAACCAACAGCAGAGACCAGGCTGGTCCCTACGTTCCTAACCCAATCCTGACATACGCCTGCCATCTAAAAGCTTAATTCTCTGACCCATGACTTTATTTACATGCAAAGCTTTAGAAATTACATTATCAGGTACAGCTATAGTTGTAAGATGAATCTAAGTCATAGGTAGCTATCCATTTTGTCAACAGTCTATAAAAATATATTTTGTAAAATCAAGATCAAACTAGAATTTTAGCACGGACGGTCATGGTGCTTACGGACGTGGGTTTATAATTTACTAAAAAGCCAGCAATTAATTCTCACAACTGCAGCGTGCAGTTAGGTTCTCATCCCAATTTTACCCATGAGGTAGTTGAGGCAGTTGGTTACACGGCTAGTAAGAAGCAGAGGTTGGATTTCACCAAAGATTCATCAGACTCTAAAATCTGAGTCTTGCCCATCAGGTGTCTATACTCAATGGTGACCTGGGTCCATTATACAAGTCAGAAGAATGAGAAAGAACATCTGAGTGGTCCATCAACAATAAATACATAGCAGAGAGCAGGGAGAAAAGGTGAAAGAAAAATTGAAAGTCATGAAAATAATTTTAGAATAGATAGAAATGAAAACGGAACAGATAGGGGATAACAGTGAATGGGATGTGAATGGGTCTTTCAGAGCATGTCGGGGGAAAAAATAAAGCAAGGTACATGGGAAAGAAAAAGAATATCCAAAATTTTAAGATGCTTTATAAAAATAAAAACACGGGATCACATAGGCGACAGGTCCACCAGCAGGCTGCGCAGGAGAACACAGCAGATACCCAGCATCAGAAACCCGCCGGCCCAAATGTCACACTTGCACAGATGCCTGATAACCTGCCCTCAAATAATGCTGCTCTGAAATTCCTCAAGTGGGATTTGGCTGGGAAAAGAAAGGTACACAGCCGGGAGATGGGTGGCTGCTTTCCGGTGGCTCCTGGACAGGCTTCTGAACCAAGGAAAGGGCTGGGTTCCAGAGGAAACCTCCCAGCCCTCTCACTGAGTCATGTTCCTGAAGAAATGGAAGACCATCTTGTTAAAGTCTATCTCCCAGAATACCACCAAAGCCAGGGAACTATCACTTCAAGGGGCTTTTTTCTTTCTTCTCTTTTCTCTAAAAATTAGCCAGCAGAGAAACAATCATAGGAAATTTCATTTTATAAAGATGAATGACAAATACGTGAACTCTGGCAGTACAAAAAGCATGACAGAATGAAGCGTTCTGGAATATTCTGAGGCTACAAACATTTAGTTAACACGATCTTAGTGCCAGCCTATGCGCGGGATCTAGGGAGTCAAAGTCCAAGAAGACACCTTTTCAGAGCTGGGCTCTAGCAGGGGGGCGAGCAGAGCTGTTGTGACAACACAGGCCTTCTCCATGTCTGGCAAACTTACCCCACTGATGGCAAGGAGAACAAATGAAGAGTGAGTACCAGGAGAATTTAACTGTTGCAAGATTAAGGGAGACCCAAAGAAGAGTAAGAATCAGTTGGGCAGTAAATTGTGGGTGCTGCAGAGGAGAACCCCCTTATGAACTGAGTGATCCAAAAGAGAAGCTATACAGGGAGATCAATTCTCAATTTTCTGCAGCTCCAGAGAGGATGTGAGTGAAGGTACAAAAGTGGCAGAAGGATCTTGGTGCCAGCAACCACACTTAATTCTATCTGAGCTAGACTTTCGTGCAGACTTGGGGAGGCAGGCTCTTTTGGTCGGCGTGAACCAAGTACCAGGAGAAAATTAAAAGACAAAGGATCTTAGGCAAGCACATGAGGGATGCCCGGGGGTGGGGGGGCAAATACTTCAATTATATCCATTTGTTCAGCAAATATTTACCGAGCATCTATGTCAACAGAAGACTCAGTTCTGGGCACAGGATTTGGTTCCTGCCCTCAAGCAGCTCACTGTCTCAGATGGACATGTAAAGAACTCATTATGATAAATGCAGAGAAATAAACATCTTGATAGAGGCATCCACAAAGAGCTAAGTGGAGAAGAAGCAAAATCAG